AGGGAGGATTGCACGAGTGTGTGTCTCTGTGTGTGTGTGTGTATGTGTGGGGAGGGGGGGTGAAAGGTGTGTCGCTGCATTGCAACTACATCAACGGACACCCTGACGGGTATGTGTACACTGTACCTAGGCGCGAACACACAATCACAATCTGAGCATGCTATTGTTATGCACATGTCAATGTGCGTCTGAAGATGTAGAGGGCAGAGGCCAGACCCTGATTTAGACCCTAAGCCCCTAAACTCTACACCCAAAACCCTAAACCCAAAACCCTGAACCTCAACACCCCGAAATTCTCTGCCAGTCGCGGCTCCAGCAGAGTGCCCTAAGAAAAAAAGAGACATCCTGCCCATACGGTTCCAGTCGCAACTTTGTGCGAGCAATCACCTTGCTCAAGACTAGATGCACGAACGTGCGCTTGTTTCCTCGCATGTCACAGGGGTTGTCGGGGTGTTCCGTCCTGCACGGCTGCAGAGGTCCAAGACGTTTGCGCCGCTTGCGCTACCCGGCTTGAGCCGGCCGGGAGCCCGCCGATCCGAATAATGAGTTACAGTGGCAGTTGTGCCGATGTGATGAAGTTGAGGCCAGTGTAGCTGGAAGTGTTGATGGTGCAACCACACTGAGCGGAAGGAGCGGCATGAGGAGCTTGGGGACGCATTCAGTCATGCCACGAGTCAGGCCACGCAACAGTCTTGGATCTCTTCAGGACATCCTTCGGCTCCTTGGCCTCCTTAGCCTCGCTGGCGTCCTCCAACTCGGCAACTGCTGCTCGGCTCGGACTGCTCCCGGCTCACAAGGGCGCGTGTGCGTTCCTCAGGGCTCGCCCGCCGTGGGTCCCCACGGAGTGCCGCTGGTGGAGTTGGAACCTGCCTATGCCGGAGACCAAGAAGCGACCAAAACCGAGGACATGCAGAGATGGGATGCTGCGAATCCGGCAGTGGCACTCACGGTTCTATGAACATTTCCGAGCCAAACCAAGACCCTCTTCACAATCTCTGTCAACTAGAAAACGTGTGCAGAAAATTTTCTCTAGCCGAAAACATCGCCATGACCCAAAGGGGAATCAGGGGAACGAGCCGAAGGCCCATGCCGGCCATGCCCCATATTGCAGTGCAGGCGCCCAAAGCCTCGTGCAGATGGTGGCCAGAGGCTCACAAGAGCCGAAAGCCCTAACTACGAGTAGTGATGAATGAACAACGCGTCGCCCTGCGCCTTTCGTGCACTACGCACAGCCGTGGAGAGGGCCGGGCGTTGCCCCTGCCTTGAGCACCGTGTGCTCGTCGAAAAAGGTCGGTGGCTGGTCCTGTAGCGGTCCCAGTGGTGGCAGATGCGCGCATTGTCATGCGGCCTGATCCGGCCTGATCCCAGCGGCTGGCAGAGGTTCGGCTGCCGCCGATGTGGGGAAACCACGGGCACTTGGTCCCCTTCCCAGAGGATGACGAGGCGCCTTGATTCATGAACATTGCTGTTGCTGCTGGGTTTCACGAGTGCAGGCTTCCGTCACAAAAGAGTACTTGCGCCTCTGAGCGCACCGGAACGCAGACGAGCCCTTGGCATTTAAAATGGCTTTGTCTGGACCGTGTGACTCTTGGGATCCACGGCCCGCGCCAGCTACAGAGCACAGGAATGGGCCACCGAGGTCATCGGTGATACAAGTTCAGAAGCAAATGTTAGCACTCCTCAGTGTCAGCGCTCTGCCGTCTGCCGGCATGGCTCCATTTCTGGTCAAAGAGATCAGCTTTTCAACCGCAGAGTTGCCGAGAACTTGGCCGGCGTTCCGGCTTTCCTCGTGCTTCTACAAAGAGGGTCTTCGCATCCTTCAGCTGACTTGGCTAGCAGCTGAAGTCAGCGGTCTGCATGCCTGCGTGCCTGCGTGTCGCTTGTGCTTCACGCTTGCAAGAACTTCGAGGTTTCCTGTTTCGCTGCCCTCAGATGAGCCGCAGCTCCCTTTACTCACCAATGTGGCTTCTGTTTTCCAACTAAGCCCTGACAGCCTCTGAGGTGATCTGTAAATACGTCTCTTCGAGTCAAGATTCCGTGCGACAGATGCAGATTCGTGTCATCGCACAACGGATAGCTCAGAGAACAGTTGCACGGAACCGGATCTCGGAGCCCTTTTCATGTGAAGCTGTGGATGCGGAATTGATTGTAATCATTGCTCTCGCGCGAATTTGCTACCTGGAGCCACTGCAGGAGCTGCAAGGGCAGCGATCCATCTTAGCGGTGCTCAGCGGGCCGAAGAAGTTGCCGGCAAGGTTGAAACGGATCTTGCACAAAGAAGAAGCCGCCTGTTCAAAGGCAACTTCTGAGCCATTCGCACGCTTCCGGGCAGGGTCAGCCGCAGCCAGAAAAAGCAGCCATGGGGCGTAGCGGCATCTTGATCCAAACTTGTGGATCTTGGCGACATGGAGCAACGTGTCTGGAGCAGGATGCGCTCGGTGAGGAACCAAGCGTGACAGTCTCCGGTCTCTCTTTGCCCCTGTTTTGCACAGTTGGCGCCAAGGTCTACATCACCACCGTTTTCAGTTTGTTTGTGGCTTTCGAAAGAGCTATGTGCAGCTGGATGCGGTGAGCAAAAAGAGCAGGTCCTTCTCTGTGCTTTTTGCTCCGTTCTGTGGTTCTCTCTGCGAGCTCCGCTCACATGCTTTCTGAGCTGTGGCAGCCCTGGTCCAAGAACCCCCTGGCAGAGGGCCCACAGCCTGCGGCTGTGGCACAGAACTTCCGTATCAGATATCGAACAAAAAATACGCGTGCCAGGGCCTGAGAGCGGTTTCGGCAGAGGCGGCACAGGGCCTTTGTGGCGAACGAAGCCTCATTTGACCCGGAAGTGCCTGTTGCAATCACTAGGACTACGATGAGTACCTGATATTTAGAGTCTCAGCAAAGTGCCCGCTTCCGCCAAAGCTTCCGGTGCCCGGTTTCTGCGCCCCACGACTTCTGGAAAGCGGATTGTTGGAGGCCAGCACTTCCTTCTTTGCTTCCAGCTGCGCCTGCTTCGCAATGGCACTCCACAGATCTTTTAAGCCTCCCTTGCTCCCTCTTTGCGAAGCTGCGCTTTAAGCTGAAAGAGCCGCGTCAGAGCCACCAGGATCAAAGTCAGGCTGCAGCCATTGCAAATCTCATCCTGTCAGCCACTGCGGGCACACTCCCAGTCCCCCTCTCTGCTTTGCTCTCCTCCACTCCCCATTTGGCACACTCCCGGCCCCATCAAAACACCCACTGCCGTTCCCGGCATCACCACCCAATGCCACAGATTCAGCATCCTTCTCTGCGTAGGAAACATCTGTCGTTGGCTGCCACGATTTGTCAACAGGTGGGCAACGTGACAAAGAATCGCTTAAGTTTTTGTTTCGAAACCTTTCGGCATGGGATTGCTGCGCTGAGAAGCAGCTTTCTCAACCGGGCATGGAAGCCAAGGATGGTCGAACATCTAAATTTCAGCTAAGCATGCAGCATCCATAGATACTGATGAGCTCCTGTTCAAAGAATCATGATCAGAGGCAGGGCAGGGGTCCGTCGGCACTGGTTTCTTTTTCTCTGTGGAGACAAGATGATTATCTAACGCCAACAGCTCCAGGTGCACAGGAAAACGTGACCACACCTGAAGAAAGTGCAGCGGCTTTCGTGCTTGGATGCGTTCGAATCCCTGGGGTCCTGCCTCCGAGGCCGGCTGGGGAAGAAATACAGCGGAGAGCCCAATTTAGCCAGGGGCCCGGGAACATCTGCGGCATCGGCAACGTGCGTGTGAGAGGCAGAAACAAGTTGAGTGATGGCATGGACGGCAAGAGTGCAAGGGTACCATTGCAGTTCGAGGGCTCTTCCGTCGGTAGTCGGGGTCATGAAGGTTTTTCTCGAGGGGGCGGGGTGAAGTGGTGCTCAACAGGCGGAGAGCGAGAAGACGGGGACTTTGGCCCTCGGTTGTCATATGGAGGCCGTCGGCAGGAGCGAAGGCGCCTTTGTGTGTGGCTCGTGGCAGGTGCCGAGACGGCGGCAGCTTCTCCTCTTTCTCTGCTTCCGCTTCAGCCCAGTGACCTCTTTGAAGTCGACAGATTTGCTCCAGAGATGGCTCGGCCCACCCCTGCCGAAGATCGAGGTGGGCCCGTTGCCTCGGTGCCCTGCGAGCCGCTTTCCTTCCTTTCTGTGTCGCAAGGCGCGGCTCGGGCTCGGGCACCGCTCCGTGTCGGAGCGCGGGGCGCCCAGAAAGGAGCCGCCCGAGCTTTCCGAATCTTTCCTTCAGACTTCAGGAGGTGACTTCGACCTCCAGGCCCCAGACGGCCCCCCATAGGGCCATAGCCGTGCTTTTTTTTCTCCTTTTTGTGTCTCTTTGTCTGTGCGAGAGAAGAGTTTGGCTGGCAGGCCGGCCCTGGCCGAGGCCAGCCGAGCCAGAACCGCTCTGACAGCGCCCCCCCTCGGGGCCCCCCCCCCCCCCCTGCATGGTTTCGTCCCTGCAGGATCGGATGTGCCCTTCCGGGTTCTGGCTCTCAGGCATGCGATTTTGTTGCAAGCCGCCGTGCAAGTCTTTACCTAGGACGCTCTGCGAAACCATGCAGATTCAAGCCTGCGGGCTTCTCAAGCTGTTGGCCTGATGTATCCTCTTCCATTCGGACCGCTTTGGCGAGTTCCAGGTGGAAACCTCATCCTGATCCAGTAGGCGCGTGAGCCGTGCTGCAGCACTGACAAAGACAGCATAAGATTAAGGCAGACTGAGAGTATAACACGTGGTCTGCAAAATTGAAAGCTTGGAGATCTTCGATTCAAAATCATAGACGCATCGAGTCGAAAGCCATGACCGCGGCCTAGGGATCTCCGCGGGCATCGTGGTCTTCTTCTACGCCGTCTACTCCTTGTACAAATACCAGCGCGAGGCGTGGGAGGGCCGTTTTGGTGGGACGTCCGGGCACAGAAGCGCCTCCAGGCCAACCGCATCATCAGCCTCTTTGAGGCCAACACCCAAATCAAGGTGGCCAACAAGAGCTCGTGCCTTCGGGCCCTTCGGGGCTTCTATACAAAGTGCACAAAGCATCAGCTTCGGAAGTAGCGGCATAGCGTGGCTCAAGCGCGATCATGATCTCCAATGTCCGAGCCCCTCCGCCATGGTTACTCTCCAGCCGTCGTCTGGGACTCCCACGCCCATCAACAAGAGGAGGACGAAACTCTGCAAGCACTGCGACAACGCCTCGAATCTCTGCAGCTCGAGGAGAGCAGACGTTGCACTAGGAAGTCGCAACTAAGTCGCCGCTTTTTGCGTGTTCCAAGCTGGCTAAGAAAGGGTCTTCCAGTCTTCCAGATTTCACTGAGCTCTTTGCAAGTCGGCAGTGTGCAGGAAGAAGATTTGGTGTACCAGATCGACACACTTGACAAGGTGCCCGACGGTTTTGCAGCTGTCTAGCTGCCTAGTTTGAGACTTTTTTGTCATGGCCATGGTTGCTCGAGGCTTTCAAAGCGCGAAAAGCTCCGCTGGCAGAAAACCTTAGAGTCTTGCGTCACTCCCTCAGCATCGAAGTGCACCGCACGAAGAGGGGGCACAACTTCATCTAGTTCGTGGACGGATATGGATTTTGATCTCAAGTTTCTTGTAACATCACTGTCAATACCCGCCGCGCTGCTTCAACCGGCGGCGTGACTTAAACCGATTTTCATGCCCTCAATTGCCAGTACGTCTGTCTTAAACTCGATTTTACATGATTTTTGCTGCTTCCGCACAGAGATGAATCAAATCCAATTTTTCATTGTTTACCGGCGCCGGGGATATATTCCAGAAAGTTCAAGGCTCGGGAGACCCCAAGAAGCCCCAAAGGCGCCCAGAGCTTTGCATGCGTGTGTCCGTGCGGGAAGACATCGAGCGGCAAGCCGGCAACGCCGGACTCGCTTTAGACTCTACGGCTTTTAAGTTACATAAGACATTAGACACACTTGCAGAGCAAGCCGCCAAATACGAAAATTGACGGAATCCTTGCCACGTGATCAAAGGTGATGGCATCCACGACAAGGACAGGGAAGTTCGGTGCTGCGTGACTTCGACATGTTCTCATCATCTCGCATTGTCGCAAGTCTTGGTGCGATTCCCTCTTTTTGAGATGTGCTGGTAGGTCTCCGAGGTTGTTTCAGTCGTCGGAGCTGGTGGCTAATTTCGAGCATTTTCGAGCTGCCTGTTTTCGTCGGCTCGCTGCACACACCTTTGTACTGCGATGTTGGGATTTTTCCGACATTCCAAGCTTTGAGTGGGTTGTGGCTGCCGTGCAGGAGATGGCCATTTGGAATTTGGACCATGGAGAGGAAGAAGTGCTGGGCCCGAGGAGCCTGGCCTTCGTTCACGGCGGCTGGGCGACAAAAGCTCTTTTTACAGAGCTCAAAGACAGCAGCGCGTGGCGCTCTGAGGCCACGTCTTTGCGACGGTATGCTCTTTGGTCTCCTCCTCAGCTCGAAAATCCGATCCTCTCAACTCGAGCTGTCAGAGCCCAGGTGATTGTTGCCAACATGGTGGTGATGTTCGTGCAATTCCAAGCCGAGGAGGCCTGAGTTACCCCTGCAGAGGGCGTCAGGAAAGCAGGACTTGCTAGGGACAAAACGCCTCTAGGACTTTAGGAGGACGGAGAAGCGAAGACAGCGGGGCATGCACCGTGATGTTGTGAGTTCATGGGTTTAGGGCAAAAGATGTGCTTGGCAGAAGCAGCCGTGGTTCGCTTTAGCTGACAATGGCTTCCTCGTCTTCTACTGCCTCGAGCTGATCTTGAAGGCACTCTACTACCAGAGCGGCCTGCTCTTTGGCCGCTGCTCCACCGACCCTTGGCTGCCTTGGCTGCCTTGGCTTTGGTGTCCGTTTCGCAGATAGCTGGGCTTCTTCCAGGTGTGGTGGAATTGGCTGGACCTGGCCATTGTGGTCAGCGGTCTCCTGGAACAGGCTGTCCTGCCTCTTCTGGGCAGCGGCGGCCATCTGAACCTCACCGGTCTCAGGGCTTTGCGGCTTCTGAGGTGGCTTGTGCCGCAACGAGCGCCGTCCTTGCCAAATTTCCGTTTTCGGTCCCCCCCCCGCCCCCACTCACCAGCCACCCACATGTGTCAGGTTTGCGAGCGGATTCAAATTCACAGTCACCAGACTAGTCGTGCCGTGCGACCCCTGTGGAGAACCCTGTAAGTGGGTGGCATGGTATAGGGCAGTGTAGGGCAGCCGAGCATGTTGCAGAGAAGCTGATGAGTGTGCTGGAGCAAGTGTAGCACACTGGGACCCGGAGCAAAATGATACAGGTGAGAAGTTTGAAGAAAGACAGGAATCCTCAATGACCTTTTGACTTGCGGATAACTTCATAGGGACTGAATGTGTAGGCCACCATGTTTCACAATTTTGCTGAGACTGGCGCGGGTGGCGCGTGGCCTCAAGCTTCTTCGATTCCTCGTGGAGTCCGATCTGTCTTGGACGCAACATCCGGCCTTCGAGAGCTTTATGATGGGCATGATTGTCTTGAACGCCATCGTGCGTTTCGGCGGCGAAAAGCTTCTCGAATTTCTCCTTCTTTCCTTGACAAGCCTCGCTTGAGCGTTTATGAAATGCTTTCTCGTCCGGGGTTGGCCCTTTGTCCTAGGATGTGGCTGGAGCTGGACTACCCCGTGGCTTTTTGGGGGATCCTGGAGCACGTGCTGCTGGTGATCTACTCCTTTGAGCTGACGGTCCGTGTAGGCTTCCACGGCTGCAACTACTTCGTCCACGAGGACTGGACCTGGCACTACCTCGACTTCGCCATCGCCGCACAGCAGCACCGAGCAACACCGAGCAACACCGAGCAGCACCGCAGAGCCGCACAATAAGCGGAGCACATGCGCGCAGAGCAAACTTCGCGAAGCCGAGGTCATGCTTGGTGGCTCGGCCCCGGTGCAGCACTCTCGGCAGAGGCAGATTTATTACAGCACTAAGGTGTCTTTGAGCAGTGGATGATCCCATCTTATCAGTATCTGCACGGACTGATTCTGGGTCCCAGCCACGCCTCAACAGTGTCGATGCCTGTTGCTGCTTGGACAAGACAGGCGCCAGTCCTGGCTGCTTTTTGGTGCTCTCTGACTTTCTCTCGCCCAGGTCCGAAGCTTGCGCGTGGCCCGTGTCTTCCGGGTTCTACGGCTCGCGCGCTTGCTGAGGACCCTATGCAAGGAGGGCAGTGTGAGGGCATGCCAAAGGGCCTAGGGCTTTGGAACAGACAGGAGCGTGAAGCAGCTTTACAAGCTCATCAATGGCGTGGTGCAATCGCTCGCAAGTGTCGGATGGGTAATCCTTCTCACGTTCTTGCTGCTATATTCTGCTGCTCTGGTGTGTCCTGGCACTGATATAGGATCTACAGGTTTGTTGCCATCTTTTTTCTCGCGCGTGACGCACCGCGATGCACTGCTTCTGAGGTTCACCTCCTTAGTGGGACAGGGGTACATTTACAACGATCCTGACGAGATGCCCGAAGAAGCTGTCCAGTACTTCGGAACGGTGTGGCGCTCCTTCTTGGCGCTCTTCAAGCTGATGAACGACGACCAGTCAGTCGTTGCCCCCATCATCACCACGATAACTGGTCAGATCTTGTTTTATGCTTTTATGATGCTTTCCAACTGGATGATGCTTGCGATATTGACTTCTGTAGTCTCAGACAACATGATGTCGGCAAGTCGAGTGAAGGAGGAGGAGGACCGAAAAAAAGCTTTCGAGGAAGACCAGCAGCGGGCCAAGCGGCGGATCCAACAGATTTTCCGCGAGCTGGACGAAGATCAGAACGGCTCCATTTCTGAGCACGAGATGGTGACACTCCTTTCCGACCCAAATCTTCAGGCAGAGCTCTGCGAAGCTTCCCGTCTTCACCCGGCAGATTTAGTCGAGATGCTCTACTGCAGCAGCCAGGAGCCAAGCCAGGCCAGGGGATGCCAGGGCCGTGCGATAGCCTTTCGTCGCCTAGGTTATCGAACGCCCTCGAACGAGAGAGTCATCCTCTACCACCAGTTCCTGACAATGCTGCAGGACTCCGTGGCAGTCTGTGTCCCTTTTTGGAAACTTCGAGAAGCCATGCCAGGACGAATCCGGACAAGCGAAGGAGCGATCGATCTTCAAGGTCATGGAAAGCATGAGGGCAGGGGCCCCGGACCCCGCGGTCTGGCTTCGCGGAGCGCGTTTCATGGCGGCCCGCTTGAGGCCATGGAGTTCCGACTGGAGAAGCGCCTGAACGCCGCGCTCCAGTACTTGAACGTACCACCCGAAGAGGCGTGGCGTAAGTCGCCAGCGTGCCACCACACAGCAGCCTCCGCGAGAGAGCAGCGGCTCAGGTGGATGGATTGCCCTCGCTGAATCAAGAGCTGGAGCGCACACGCCCCCCGGTTTTGAATTCTCCGAAGTTCACAGGGGTCTGCCGTCTCTGCCGTCCCAAGTTTAAGGAGAGCTGGAGGATTCTCCGGCACGCTCCCTCGCCAAGCACCTCTCGCGATCAAGGGTCTCGCCGGTCTCGCCCTCGCGATCAAGCATCTCAAACGGCACATTCACAATGTGATGGCTCTAGGGCCCTAGGGGAAGTCTTCCGGCTTCCTGTTCCGGCGCGGCAGGTCAACACTCGTACTGCCCTTTGTGGCCGTCATAGGGGAGCGAGCCTTTGGCTTTCTGTTTCTGTGGTCGCCGGAAAGTTAAGCCGCTGAGCTCCCATTTAATGGGCAGAGAAAGCGGTGTCCGGACACCTTCCCAAAAAGAGGAGGGTGCCTGATGCATCTGTCTCACCCTCTCACCTCCCACCCTCCTCCGCTCTCCACCACGCGTCAGACACGAAAAGTTTGCTGCCTTCAGATGCTTCTGGAAGCGTCTCTGCTCCGCTGTTCCCACTGTTGATGCAGGAGCTTTCCGAGAAGGCAGCGCGCGGAGAGCCTTTGCCGAGCATCGTGGTGCGCCCAAGCAACCCGTTTCTGCTTCTTTCTTACATGCTCTTCTGAAGAACAGCACCCGATGAGTGTGAAGAGGAAGCTGTCATGGCAGTAGCAAGCTTGGAGCGGTTGCGGAGACACGGAGACGCGTCGGAGCTTCTGCACCTCAGAAAATCGATCCTTTGATGTGGCTCTCGCAGCCCGGCATTTCCTCGAACTGACAGTGTTCACCGTCGGCTTCAAAAGTCATACAAGAAAGGTTTGTTAAGCCGCAGGAAGATTCCGCTCTTGGCGACAGCGGAATGCGATCTGTTTAGACCGGGTTTCTTCTTTAATTGCCGGGTCCGATCTGCTTCGCCGTTGCATCCGCGATACATCCGGTAAAACCCGCTAAAGCGATGACAAAGCACGACAATGATGCAGAGACTGGAAGACGGGCACTTCGAGGTGGCCAAGGTCTACAAAAACTCGAGTGCATCATGTAGCACAAGAGGCAAAGCGACCAGGGGGCACCCTTCTGACAGAACTTGAGCTCGCATTCAGCCCGCGCGCGCAGGCGACCCCCGCGCGAGTGGGGATTTTACGTTCGCTCAACCTCTTTGGGCCGGGCCCAAGCTGTCACTTGCCGACGATGACGACGACCCACCTCCCCTGTAGAGAAACTTGATGCGCCCAAAGAGGAAGACATGGAGCTAGCAGGCCATGGCCAGGACTCCTGGATGGAAGTGAAAGCTCATCAATTACCTGCTGCCTCCCAGGACTGTTTTTTGCCTTGAATCACCGAAGATACGAGCCTGAAGCCTTCAGCACCCCCCCCCCCCCCCCCCCGCCCCGTCCGGCAAGAGAAGCCCCGCCTCTCGGCGCCAGGTCATCAGAGGCCACATTGGAGCTGATGGCGGTGATGTCTGCACGGTTCGCCGCTTCAGCTCTCCGCGTGTCTTGTGCTGAAAGTGCGGCACCCGGAGAGGTCTCCACGGGAATCCATGGCCTGCGGGAGCGCATCGGTGAGATTGAGCAGCCAAAGAACGCCTGGATCGAAATCGCCCGGCAGGCGCGATCCTTCGGATTAAGATTGGATTTAGGCTTCTTCGTGAGGATTGCTCACAGTCCAACCGCAGCGTTTCCTTCTGAAGGCGAAGTCGGACCCGCAGCTGCGCGGAGTGGCCGATGCGGTCGTGCAGCGGACGGGCGTGGATGCCGATGATGTGCCCGAGGTGCCAAGGTCTCAGCTGACCCGGGTGCCCGGGTGAGGGGAGGGGGTCTTTCGCTTCGCTGAGGCCGGAGCCTGGAGATCCCTACGCCAGGCGAAGCAAAAACCGCGGCGAGGCCGCGCAGCTTTATCCCCCACTCCCCCAGTCCCTGACGCCGGCCTTTTTGGCCGCTCCGGCAGGGATCCTTGGTCGTTGCTGAGATCCTGGTGGCCAGGTTCGGCTTTCGCTTTGTGTGCTTGTCTGGCCGCCTGCGACCAATCAGGATCTGTGCAAAACACCAAAGTGTCCGGCGGGAGAAGACCACCAAGAGGGCACGGGCCCCCAAAGCGCTGAGCGCGCACTGCCGCCACATATAGAGCTTTCGCACTGAGGTGACCATCAAGCGCCCTCGCAGAAATGAGAGCTACAACTGCCACCCTGCCACGACAGTGCGAGCGCGGGCGCAGCAGCTGCGCATGGCTTCTGCTGGGTGCCAGGTTTCCATGGAAGGCGCGTGTCCGACAGACTCCACATCATCGATTTGGACGGTGCGGCGCTGCGGCCACGCCTCCCGCCGGGTCTCATCGGCTTGTTTTCGCTTTTGCGCGAACAGGCAATCGGGCCGACATCGAGTTGCCACCAGCTGATGCAGTGGGCCTTGCAGGCCAGCGAAAGGAATTTTGAGTGCTACGCGGTAGCTGAGCTTGCTCTGCATCCGTGCCAGGCCTTGTAGGGCTCTACACAGCTAGCAACTGGTAGGAGTGCGCTGCCGAATCCCGAAAGATGGCCCCAGCTGGCCCCCCCCTCCCCTGGTGCATCCTCTGCCTTTGACAACACCCTTGTCTTTTGGACTCTGATTCAGGAAGGCCGTGTTGACCTCCGTATACTACGGACAATATTTGCTTGTGCTGGTATCGAAACCGTCCTAGCACTTGCTTGTATATAGTATAGAGCCCTTGTCAAGTTTACCGCAGACGTTAGCCTGTATGCATTGTCGACTCCGGAGGCTGGCATGCGTGTCAAATTGGTAGCGGAGCCAGCACATCGCAGTGCAGGAGAATTCACGGAACAGTTTCCGACCGCCAGCTTGGCTGTTTTGGTGGGCCGGGTTCGTGCAGATACAGGTGATGCTGATCATCTGCTTCTCCTTTGACACACGTTCCGGGGGCAGCAGCCCTGCAAGCCCTAGCTCCGAAGGCAGAGTGCACCCGTCCACCAGATCCGCTGAGACCACGGTGAAATACGTGAAGCACACGGCGAGAGCTCAAGAACTGTCTTCGGGCATTGCGCACGGCCGTCATTTGGTGCCAGGCTGGCTTTGGTGTTACCCACCCAAGTCGCAGCTTCGTTTGAACCTGGCCCAACATGCCTGTCCGGAGGTGACAATGATATCGGGCACCCATTTATGTCAACACAAAAAATTGGATCCACCCGAAGGATGTGAAGGTTGCAAAAGGTTGCAAAGTTACAACGATGGTGCCAAAGGCAAAGCCTTCAGGAGCGAGCGACTCTCCTGTTGGAAGATAGGTCGCGTTTGAGGGAGTTATTACAGCTTGTAGCAAACACGGTGGCAGACAAATCATGTTCAGAAGCACTGTATCCCAATCTTGCCTGCATCTGCTGGGCCGCTTTGTCGCGAACTTCTGCGCTTGTGCAGCCCTCTGGATGACAGGCGTGTCTGATCCACCGCCTCTTTTTCTGCCAGCGTGGATTCCAGCTTCTCATGACTTTCAACAGTGCTTCTTCTGGCAAGGGAGCAAGCAATCTCTGAGGTCAGTGATGTTTGGACTGAATTCACCCACTACCTCAGAAAAGATGGGGTTACAGGCCTGGAAAGAATGCTTTCAGCCTTCAGCTTCGTAGACCCAGTTGCAGGTCCGAGTGGGCGACGCCAGAGGTTGGATGACCTGCCACCCATGCGTTTGTCGGACAGGGCTTGGCAAGGCCGAGAGGGCTGCGCGCTGCTCACCGTTTCGCGCAGGACCCGTACACCTTGCTCTCCGAATTTATCTTCCTTGACGTGCCGGGGGCGCCCAAATCTGCCACTTGAACCGCAAAACTCGGACAGACGATCGGCCTTGAGGCAGTCGGCGGCGGATCTGGGCGGTTTTCCTGGCAACCCGCACGTCTTGGAAGAGATCGGCGAGGCCGGGAAGAAGACATGCCGCGGAGAAAAAGCGGCCCTCTGCCTTTTCCTTTCGAGCGCAAGGCATTCCGCGTCGGCCAGACCCCGGCAGCCTCCCCAGAAATGCGGGCGAGCGATGTTTGATCCCTCTGATGCTTCACTGACCCGCTCCCCAAAATCCCCAGAAAACCTCCGATTTGAGGCGAAGTTCCTCTGGGAGCCGCGAGGCTTCTACGACTCCGTGCGTGGGGGCGGCTACGACGACGCCCCTCGGCGCAGAGAGCGCCTCTTTCTTTCTGTAGAAGAAGCCCTGGGCCAGGTGCCGGCCTACGCCACGGGCCGGTTCCGGAAGACGGAGATGATCAGCGCCCGGGAGCTCCTGGACCGGGCGCAGGCGCCGCAAAGCGAGGGCCTCCCCCCTTCCCTTCCGCCTTGGTCTTTTTTTTTTGTCTGTGCAGGCAGCAGGCAAGGAGAACACGCGCTACACGCCCCATTGTGCCTGGCTCTTGGGGGGTCTGGTGCGTGTCTGGTGCGTCGTGTTCCAATTTCTTTTGTTGCAGGAGCCGACCTTCACCCGTGGTGAGCTCGAGCAACGCAGGGATGAGGAGCCCTCGAGACTCTCGAGAGCTGAAGCTGCACCCTGCCAATGCATCCAATGGTCCCGGGCTCGCGCCGCCAGGAGAACTGCTTCCGGTACACGGAGCTGGCCATCCCACGGGGGATTCCGGCCGGGTCAAAACAGCTCGCCGTATATATCGCGCGTCGCAGAAGTTGTCCTTGTGAGGTGACGATCCTGGCAAGGCCCATGATTGCAGAGGCCCAGGGGCCGAGACCGCAAACGCGGAAACGGAACACTGTGTGGGAAGGGTCTGGGTTGCTGCTGTGCTGTCAGGCTGGTACCGGTGAAGGCTCGGAGCGCAACAAACTGGGACTGCAGCTTTTCATGGCTTGTGTCAGCTTGCGGCTCAGGTGCTGATTGCAACATCCGGTTGGTGTCGCCCCAGGGCGATGAAGGCCATGTGACAGTCACAACGCCAGAGGGGGAAACGGAGCAAAGCCATGGGAAGTCCTGTGACACGCCCAGATTCAAGCATCAAGCGTAGAGAAGTGCCACAAGCCAGAGCGATGCCCCACACGGCATCTCGTTAAAGTGTACACTGCACGGCATCTGTGCGGCAACGAAAATTTAGAGATGCAGTGTTTGTTGACGTTACGCAAACCCTCAGCAGCGGCATGCGAGTCAACCACGGAGTTGGATTGAAGCACCCGGTATTCAAGCATGCGCGATTCAAGCACGTACGAGCACCAGAGGCGCAGGGTGTTTGGGGTCTCACTTTAGGAAGTTTTTGCTGCGAGGTCCGCCCCACGCTGACCTGAAGAACCTGAAGGCCGTTGTCGTGCGTCTTCCAAGCTACAGCTCAGACTGCCAGACACCCTCAGCACCCCTTTGTCTCCAACCTGCAAAGCCGCAAAGCTGATGTTTTTGCGCTCTGGAGCATTGCGGCTCCAGCTTCTTGGAGGATCGGTTCCGCTTCCGCATCCTGCGCGGCCATCAGGTACCCAAGAGCTAGCAGCCAAGGTTTAATCTTGCTGGTCAGGAAGAATCCATGCACGCCTGTCCTTTCCTGTTGGAGGTGGAGAACCTCCTCCGCCATCGGGACCGGAAATGGAAGCAAATCAGCGCCAGTCCTTCAGCAGATGGTTTCTGTCGTGGGAGGAGTTGAATCCCACGGCGTACTATGGCTTGGCCTTGGTCGCGATAGCCTTCATCGGCTGGGCTGCGCCGCTCGAAGGATGTTGGGGAGATGGGGATGATGGGGTCGTATTGCCGCCACCAGCTGAGGTCTGGATATCCTGGCCTTGGTGCCTGATCGTGTCACCGCAGAGACTGCCATTGTCGGGAGAAAAAAAGGGACTTGCCGTTACTTCTCTATCCTTCTCCCCATCCTTCTGTGCAAAAAGAGCAGCACAGCCTTCGCGCGGCCTGGCTGTGAGAAAGGGCCGGAACGGCTGGCGCAGACAGCTGCTATAGAGCCTAGAGCAAGAGCAGCCATCCCATGGCCTTCGCCAACTGTGGTGCTAGAAGCTCGATCCAGTGCATACCAAACCGTCGTTTGCTGCCTTCGGCTGTGTTTAGAAGGTTGAATTATCGGAGGCAGTTCGCCGAGCTGTTAAGGGCAGTGGTTTTTTGTGATCTTGGACCTTCTTTCGGAGCAGCGGTAAGGTAAGCTTAGCCTTGCTCGAGAAGCTGGACTCCCGGAGCACCCAGGTCCTTGAGCACAGCTCATAAAGAACATCAGCATCCTTATGCGAAGCAGGCCCTTGAGGTAAGCTCTTCGCAAAACTGAAGCTCTCTCTGCGAATCCCAGCCTTCTGGCTTAAAGTGCCGGTTGACGGCGTGGTCGATTCGCTTCGCTGAGACTTTCATCCTCGCGCACACCAGCCGAAGAGAGGACTTTCCACCGGCTTAGGATTCAAGAGAGGGTGCCGTGCACACGCTCTTGAGCTGCGACTGTGTCATCTGTGTCGCAAGGAAGCATGCATGCGTGCATGACTGTGTCTGCGTGCATGCGCTTGGGTCGCGGGTGTGGGTGTGTGTGTGTGTGTACCAGGGGATGCATAACAAGAAGAGCAGGGGGGCAGAGGGAGTGCGGAGGGGCTCTGTCCAAGAAGCTCGCCTCCGCACATCAGAACAACGCACCTGCAAGCATCCGCCTCGGAGGAGCTTCCCCATAACCTGTCGACTTTAATCGGGGGAACGGCCATGGCATATAATGCTCTCCTTCTCCGAAGAATCCCGAAAGAAATCCCAAGTCAGCCCTTTCGAGTCTAACCCCACTTTCAAGAAAGGAACCCGCAGTTCGAAAGAAGCCAAGGAGGGGGGGAGGAGGGGGGGGGGGGCAGAGAGGGTTGAGGAGGGTCCAAATTGCCCCTTTCACAGGCTTGGGCAAACGCAAACGGCAAAAAAGCCAAAAAGCCCAAAAATCAAACTTGAAAAGCCCAGAAGGAGGGATGCGGGGGGGGAGGGGGGGGGCATTTGAGGGAGCCAAGTTCGAGTCGGCAAGCTTCTGTGCACACTGCCCTCACAGCCATCAGCCTAATCCTCATGCGAAGCACGCTTTAAAGAACTATCCCTTTCTTTCAGGATCCAGTACGGAGGCACAACTATCTTAACGTCCCTCTTTCAAGAGATTGCGAACTCCATCAAGTCACATGCCAGCTCCAGCTACACGAACAGAGTTAGAGTGAAATCCCAGTAAAATCCATGGTTTCTAAAGGTCGGTTTAGGGTTCAGGGTGGGCTGGGGTTTAGGGAAGACGGTTTGGGGTGTCGGTACAAACAGCGAATAGAGGAAAAGTAGAGCTTTCATGATAATGTTTGCATTGCATGTAGGTCTGATGAGTTTTGAAGGGGGCGGGGGGGGGGGTGGATTTTCGGGTCTAGGGTTGAGGGTTTACAGGGTTTTTGAAATGTTTGGAACAGGCGAAAAGAAAAATGACGCGTGAAGATTGCTGGACGGTGCGCATCTCTTGATAAGTGCCGAGACGAGTGGGTCAAAAGAGCCGACTTCGCGTTCCGACGTTAGGGTTGACAGCTTGGAGTCCCCAACGTTTTGTCTTTCGTCGTTTAATACTTCCGTTTCACTGCAGGAGCTTCCCCGGACGAAGTTGCCCCCTCAGGACAAGGTTGGGAGCTTGGCACTTCCCCCAAAAGTCGCTCCGAATTTTGCGGGCCCAAGGTTGCAGAGTTGCTGGCTCCAGGTATCGAGGACGGGACAGCAGACGGAGGTTTGCACATCGCACCAAAAACCCGGAGCGAGGAGCCGAGGCATGCGAAACCACGGCGGCCTCAGATCAGCACCTTCGAGGACCGATTCCGCTCTGCGCGGCGCCCTCGCGCCTGTCCGGTCTTTGAGGAGGCTTATCCCGGCTTGATTCCTGGCCGGGAAAGCGGGGGCTTGAGGGCCATGCAGGCCCAGGTCACCCAAGGCGCGACAACCGGCATGCGCTTCCGCGTTGGTTTGCGCTTTTTACAGGCCGACGAAGCGCACGGCCCGCAGAGGTGGGATGGGCTGAAGACTGTGGATCGGTGCTTCTTTGTGCCTTCTTGTGCCTTTCTGCGGTTGTCTCCCCATCGAAGCTGCGGTTTGCGGCCATGGAGCGCCGAGAGCGGCGCTGGGCGCCGCGAGCGTCCCTGGCACTGGGACTAGTGGCCGCTGGTGGCGGCTGGAGCCTCCGCGCCTTGGGCGCCTTCCTCGGTCCCGTTGGCCCGAGTCCCCGGGCAGCTCGGGAAGTCGGACTCCGCTTCAACGACGGGGACAAGGACACCGCGGGAAGACGGTTTAACCGCCAACAGTAGTGCCCCCCCCCCCCCCCGACTCGTGACTACTACACTTGTACAGGACCTGTTGGCGGCACAGTCCTTGGAGATTTCCGACTACGATGCGCTGCCCAGGAGGGTCTCGAAACGAGAGGGGACCCACTCCTTGCTGCACTCTGCAAGGAAGTTCGACCGCGGAGTTCTCCTGGACTTCTTCAGCTCGAGGCCGGCCGAGATCGCCTGGCGCTGGTCGGAGAGACTCGGCTGTGAAGATGGGGGGACTTCTGGGCCCCGTCAAGTGGGCAACGTTGCAGGATCTTGGGTGAGCTCTGGCCGGCCTGGAACCTCTGGCATTCGGAGGAGTCCTTGCCAGCCGGCCAGCGAACGCGCGGCGCCGTTCTGCGGACCGCCTTGTCGAAGCTGGGCCCCATCTTTGTCAAGATTGGCCAGCCTCTTGGTATACTATTGCATACATCCTTCGGTTGGCTTCGCGGCCTTCGTGTTGCAGAGTGCTGCAACTTGGGAGCATTGCGCACGGCGCGGATCTTAGGACACTCTCGGAGCGACCGGACCTCATCGGCCAGAGCCTCAGAGGGGTCCACTTTTTGGTTCGTGGAGGGAGACGTGTGTGTTTTGTCCTTCCGTAGGTGAGGAGGCCTGCGAAGAGCTGAAGCTGCTGCAGCAGGCCCGCTGCCCGCGCAGGGCTGCGCGGCGCGCGCGCTTCTTTTGGGGCGAGCTGTGTCTTTCGCTTCAGGAGAACGAGCCCTTCAGTACAGACGTGGCTTTCGCCATGATCTTGGAGGACTTGGGCCACAAAGGGCCCTTGTCACCTGGCGGATACACGAGCAAAGACGGTGATCCTACAGCTGCTGGCCTGCGCTTCAAGCAGAGAGAGCAAAGCGGCAGAGAAGTGCACTCCGTGTGCTGACAGATGCCGTTGCACTTCCGAGGCCGCGCCCTTGCTGGCCGAGGCGAGACCGAGATGGTTGACTGACGCGACGCTTGTGACCGGTGTGTTGCGACGCGGTGGCATCGCGACGCGATGCGCGCCACGTCTTCTTCTCTTCTCTTTTATGCGCTCGCACCCGAGCGCTGCGCGCCTGTCAGATCTCCCCGGATCCGGTGGCTGCAGCATCGCTTGGCCAAGTCTACTACGCCAAGACGTTGGATGGTCGTGAGGTTGCCATCAAAGCAGCTTGGCGCTTTCGGCACGGTATGGCACTATCACAAAAGTGCGGCTTTTCGTCTTCAGCGCCCAGGTGCAGCGGCCAGGAAGCTTGCGCCAGGCGAGCCCTCTTTCTGCTCTCCGTAGGGCCCCGAGGAACGGTCGGCATCGTCAGGTCGCCCTGGATTGGACGTGTTGGGCTTTGGGTTTGATGCTGATGGACTTCTACTGGGGCGGTCAAGGTGACGAGTATCCCAAGGCAAGGAATAAAGCACTGCAGCAACAATTGCTACTGTCTGTATGCCCCCCCGCAGATTGCGGACGAAGTTGCGCAAGGCGTCTTCAAAGCAGCTTGTGCACGTTCAGAAGGGGATTGTGTGCATCTTCTGTTTGCTGGGCCCTGTCCCTGTGCTCGTGGGTTCAGTCTCTTCTGGAATTGCGCGGGCTCTTCCCGTTGAACGGTTCTTTCAAGGAGTCTGGAACAAATCAGGCACGTGAGAAGACTGTGACAAGTTAGAGGGTGCCTGAGGAGTTGGACTATCACAACGAAGCCCGAAACGCAGCGATCTTCCTCAAGAAGCACAAATTCCTGCCTTTCGTCACGGCTCCGGAATGGGTGCCCGAGCTAACCGGACCAGAGGGGACAGCCAGGGTCCTGACACTCTCTTGGATCCACGGCCGCAAGCTGCAAGAGATCGAATCAAAGGAGGAGAGAATGCAGATGGTGGACATGGCAGTAGAGGCTTGTGTCTCGTCTTTGGTCTTCACCGGCTTCGTCCACGCAGATCCGCATGCTGTGCCCTTGACCGCAGCATGACCACGAGCCTTTTACAAGAAAAGAGAGTCCGAGAGCTCAGGGCAACATGCTGCTGACGGCGGATGGTCGTCTGGCTTTCCTGGACTTCGGTCTCATGGGAACCGTGGAGCCCCGCATCATGGATGCTCGGTTGCAGACAATCGCCGTCATCTCCTTCCTCTCTCAAAGCGCTTAGTAACTTAGTATCCTCCCTCGCTCTCTCTGAGGAGGGCTTCGCGGCGGGGATCCAGCACCTGCTGGCCGAGCGCTGGCTGCCGCTGGCGAAGGTCATGCAAGGCGCGGCCTCTCCTCTGTCTCTCTTTAGGGACTGCTGCGCCGCTGCGCCTGTAGCTGCTACGCTGTGCTACGCTGTGCTATGGCGCTAAGACGTGGGCTTCATGGCCGTGGGCGAGGAGGGCGGCTTCAAGAAGGTCGTGGACCCCAGCGCCCGGGCCCGCGGTCCAAGACGGACAAAAAACCTGCGCTCTCCCTCTCCCCTCCTCTCCTTCCCTCTCCTCTCCTCTCTCTGCTGCTTTGCCAGGTCTTCGAGTACACGAGCTGCCCCGACGAGGAGTTCGCGGCGGCCCTGGAAGCGCAGATGAAAGCGGAGGAGGGCGGCCTGAGCCGCTTCGGCGCTCTCGCGGGAGCCCTCACAAAGCTCTCAGACAGATATCACATGACCATGCCAGGCCAGGCCAGGCCGTGCCCGCATGCCTCGTACTGTGCCGTCTGCTGGTAGGTTACATCATCCTCTTCATCCGCACGTTCTTGACTTTGGAAGGGATCGCCGGGGTGGTGTGGCTTGCCATGCAAGGGCGGTCCTGCCGTGTCCCCAAGATCCTTGTGAGCATGCTCAGCCCAGGAAGCCCGACTTCAATATCTATGAAGCATCCCTGCCCTATGCGCTACAGCGGGCGCTTTCGCCCAAGACGGAGGTAGGTCGGTGGCTGGGTCGGTAGAGGCGTGGCCGAGGGGAGATGCTTTGCAGGAAGCTGTGGCAGCGCTACGAGAGACCTGGGTGACGGACACCGGTGCCCCTCGCTGGGACACGTTGAATGCCTTGGCCCAAAGCCTGTCGGAGCCGGACAGACAGAGTCAAGGCGGTCCCGAGTCCGGCCCACAAAACAGCTCTCCGAGCTCTCCAAGCTACGGCGAGGCGCGGCTTTTGACTCGAAGCTCTCGTTACCGAGTCAGCCAGCGAAGATGCCTCGCCTGTGCTCACAGGTGCTTCGTCGTGTCTTGCAGTCGCCGGAGGGCCGAGCTCTGCGGCGGATTTTGGTGGACCTGGACTTCCGACAGCTGCTCCTGGGCTTAGCCGGCCCGCAAGGAGCCCAGGTCCGCTCCGCAGCCTCGCAGGCCCTGGCCGCCCGGCTCTTCCAAAAAGAGGCCAAAGAGGCGACGAATTCGTCGCCGCAGGCGGCCCAGGCCAAGAAGCCGTCTCCGCTCCCAGAGAGCGGAGACGGCGTTTCAGCGGCGTTTCAGCGGCAGCAGGAGAGGAGAGCCACGAAAGCCTTGCGGGTCCCAAGCTCAGCATACAGCGACTCGAGTCCGCGACGCTTGTCGAGTCGAGTCCGAGTCGAGGTGATCCGCGGTCTGCAGCTTCGGCGCTTGCGTCGGCCCCTCCCTGCCTTGCGGCTCGGCGGCAGGCGGCTCGCGATGGATAAGGCGGCGACCTGTTTTTCAAGGCAAGCACATAGTCAGTTTAGTCAGTACTGCGGCAGTGAGAGCGGGGCAGACGTAGGCGTCCCAGCCGAGGATGGCCGCTGTCGCTTTCCTGGGCTTGACTTGCAAAGTCTCCTTTTCAGCCTTCCGACGGGCCTTCACACGATTTTCGCGCCGATCTTCGGGCCACTAGTGAGTCTATCTCTCTCTCTTTGTATTTTCCACATGCCATATAGCCATATATGGCTCCTTGAAGTTTCATCATAATTCGTTGAGCCACGAACGTGGCTCTGCAGTCCAGGCGTTCAGCGAAGTCCAGGCAGGGAAGGCACATTTAAAGGACCTGCTCGCCTCTCTTCGCGTCGCCGCGCCAACTCCGGCTCCAGACTCCACTGGTCAGCGCCCTTTGCCAAAAAAATGCGCGAGATTTTTTGGGGCGCCTGCTCCTTCTTTGCCTTCTCCTCTGCTCATGCAGGCCACTGAGAGAACGGTGGTGCAGGAACCTGCGGAGGTGTGGAGGCGAACTCTTCGCATCTGTGAGCCCCGCTTGTCAGCTTTGCTTGCAGTGGGAGGCAACAGCTGCAGAAAGAATCTGTTCCCCAGGAGGCTTTGGTAGCAGCTTCAAGGCGCGTAGCTGTTGGGAGGACCCCTGAGATGACGCTTAGCCTTGGGCTGACCTCCTTGGAGGTCCGAGTGGCAGCGCCAGCGCCGGAGCCGCGAGGATCAAGAAATGCGATGGCGGCGGCAGCTGACCTGAGCTCAGTGGGCTCTGTGGCCTGGCTTTAGCTCTTCGCCGTCTTCGCCTTCCGCCAGGAAACTCCAACAACAAGGACCTGCCTCTGAAGGCGAAGAGCTCAAGCCGCGGTGTGTTTCACACCCACAAAAGCCGGGAAATGCTTCAGGACAGCAGACCCACGCGCAGCCCGCTGTAGCATCGCAGTCCTATCCGTGCGTGTGGAAGGTATCGAGAGCTGCTCAGGGTTACTGTGAGCAGGATCGCGAAGTGGGGTGTCGTGGAGCCGAGCAGCTGCCATGGGCGGACCCTGGGGCCAGTTCCAGCGCCTGTGGGCGTTGAAGCCTTTTGGGAGCAGCCAAGGGCGGGCCCAGCGGAAAGGGCAAAGGAGTGAAAGGAAGGGGCCGGCAAGGCCGTCGGTACAATGTTACTGTACCCGAGCCTTGTGTATCCCACTCGTTGACCAAGCAAGCATGGTACCTGTCCGGTGCCTTAGTCCTCGTTTCATCGGCAGTTACCCGAGCTCATGACAGAAGACAGCTTTCGAAGGCGCTGGTACATGTAAAGGACGGATGCCGAAAAGTGCGGCGGCAGACATGGGCTCGGAGGTGTCGGCGGTGACTTGCGAGGACTTGCCTGGAGGAGAGCCTGCGGACGTCTTCGAGATGCGCGTCAGATATTTGCTGAGTGGAGCGTGGGGACTGTCTGCTCTGCATCTGCAGTTCGAGCTGCTGTGCTGGGCTCCTCGCAAGCGCAGGGAAACGGCAAAGCGAAAGCCTTTCACAGCACAGTTTCTCCGAAAATCAGGTGAAAGACCCAATTGTCGATACATCGAGTTGTTTGCTTGGCTTCCAGCGCCTCTGCGGGATTTAGGCCCTAAATCCTGCAGAGGCGCGGCTTTTACCTCGGATTAGCGAGCACATTGGCACCTTAGGCTTGGCTTTTGAACGCCGAGGCGGCGTGATGGAGACGTGCAGTCGCAAATCAAGCTCTGCAGTTTTAGCAGAAGCAGCTGTGAGCTGGCCTGCGCTCTGTGCGGGTCTCCGTTCGCCAGCGGCAAAAGGACGAGAGCCGATACGGCGAGAGAGCCCAGCCAGGCACTGCGACGGCGACGGCCTCCGTGATCCCCGCAGGCCTTCGCCTTCCTCCACTTCCCTCTGATTCTGCGCTCTTTCTGAGCACCCAGTGTGCACTTCGCTGCACTAGGCCTGCGGCCAGCAAAGTGCATTGGGGACAGCCGAGGGCTCAGACCGAGTGGCATCCTCCACCCACGCATGTAATCGTGGTCCGGGTCTGCACAGAGAAGCCACCATGAACTCAGAGCGTTGAAAGGCGATTCATGAACATGGCCCGATTCCCCCTTGCAAAGCCGCACGTTCGTCCGGTGAAACATGGGGGGGGGGGGGTGTCTTTCGAGTTGGAGCCTCGAGGCGGCCAGGAATTCAAGAAAACACTCCGAGCCTTTGCAGCACCGTGTCTGCTGCGCATCGCAGGAGTCCCCCCTGGTCTGAGGCTTTCCAGATGGCATCAAGCTTCCCTTGTTCGGCCAGGCAACAGCATGCCCTTCAGATGTCCTTCAGATTCAGCAGGGAAGGCTCTGCTCGTGCAGGATGTTCCAGATCCCATTTGGACCACGCTCGGCAATGCTCCGTGGTTAGAGCGAGTGCGGAACCGTCCTCCGCGTCCGCAGGCATGGCGACCCTGTGTGGCTCTTTCACAGTGTCACAGTATGTCACAGGGACACTCACACGTCAGGATGAGTCTCCATGGCTTTACGAAGATGACGACTCGTGGTGCCCCTACTTTCGCGGCCCTTGCCAAGGCTTGTATAAGGATACGTTGCAGGCACCCGCTCCGCCAGAAGCTCACCTTGGCCACCGTGCGCCCTTGTGGTCAAAGGCGCTTGGAGCTGGAAGAGTGGATGTTGGGTGGTTCTTCCAGCTCGTAGCTGCCGTGGAGGAGCTCCGACTGAGCACTGCTGCACAAAATGCATTCTGGCGGCATCGGCGACATGCCTTCCACACATTAGTGCGGCACATGCCCCTGTTCTGAGGTTCAGCTTCATCCCATAGCAGTGAGGGGCGATCAACACGATTGCTGAAGCACAGTCTGCCTGTTCAGAAATGTGGACAGGTAGTGCCAGCGAAAAAGGATTCAGCATTCCCTGCTGCTCGAATCGTGGCCTGCGAAGCTTCTCGCTGAGAATTCAGAGAGTGGAGGATCCCCCGCAGCCGCGGCTCACCCCCCCCCCCCTCCCCCCCGGGGTGCAGCCCGGTGCCATGGACCCGGAGGCGACGCGCGTTCCGTGCTCACGCGCCTCCCTGCGCTCTTCGCAGCACCGAGACGCAGCAGGAGGACGCAGTCCGCTCTCCCCCAGGGCCTCCCGCGGGCGGGCGCCTGGGCGGATGGTTAAAGCCTGGCACCCGGCAGAAGGACTCGATAACCAGATGCCCAGCACATGCCCTCCAGGCCCAGTTCAGGCAGAGGCCTCTAAGTTGCCCAGGTCCACCGCTGCTTCTCTGGAAGGCCACGTCAAGGCGCCGCTTGAGCCGAGCCTCCCCAGGCCTCGATCTGTCTGTCTCTAGGAGATCCGCGCCAACTCCAAGCTCATCGCCGCGGACCTCCAGAATGCGCACCAGGAGGCGCCCCCCCTCCCCCCCCCGTGATCTGCGATGCGATGCGCCGTTTCTCTCGGCGGTTAGAGAGAGCGCTCCGCGATGCGAGCTGCGAGCAGCCGCTGCAGCACCTGCGACAGGCGAAGAACAAGATCCAAAAGACCCTCGCAGGCGGCAGAGCGGGAGAGTCCGAATGACTAGAAGTATCGTGTCTTCAGTGTCTTCAGCGGCCCAGCAGCTCTGTCTCTGCATGAGGCGGCGTCCTGGCCCCGGGCCTGGAAGAGGCCCAGCCTTTGCCTGAGCCCAGCCTTTGCCTTTGCCGCATTTTGCCGCGTTGTCGCAGGTCCAGCTCCATGTAACCTTTGAGGAGGCACGCACTGGCACGCAGGGCCGCAGAATTGCGCTGCCGCCATGCGCAGCCGGCAGGGCAGCCTGGGACTGAACCTGGACTTGGCCGACGGACAGGTCCTCAAAGTCACACCCGGTGGCGCCGCACCCAGGGCTTTGAGAGGAGCTCTGCCTCTGCCAGCTTCCGTCTTCAGCTCTGGGAGGTCAGGCAGAGCAGCTGGGCCTCCGTGTGCAGGACGCGCGGCAGAGCGGCGAGAGCGCGGCTCCCTTCTAAGCAAAAGCGCGCTCTTCTTCCTTCGTCGCCACGCACAGAGAGGACCGGCTCCTCGCGGTGCGGGGCTGCTCGCTGCCAGCCACCTCGGACCCGAGCTTCCAAGAGGCGCGGACCACTTGGGGTCCGCTCCCCGCCGCTCCGCCGCTCTCCCCTCCGAGTCTGAGTCAGGCGGCGAAGAAGCAGCTGTCCTTGGCCAAGCAACGGCCCGCCAACGACTCAGACCCCCTTTTCCCGGCGCCAAAAGTGCTCTTCTTGAGTTGTGTAAAAGGTGAACATGACCTTTCTTCGTATCGTCCAGTCGGAGGGCCAGGGCAAGAAGAACCAGGAGGTTCGGCCGAAGCATGACTCAGCGAAGCGCATCGCTGTTCCTGGCAGGACTCCCAGCTTTGCCAAGCACAAGCGAAGATTCACGAGCTTCAGGCGGTGCTCCTGAGCCGGACTGGAATCTCCACTGACACTGTTTTTAGGACTTAGGTCCAGGCTCTGAGGGTTGAGGCGCTGCCACTCCGCGCGTGGCAGGTGAACAGGTCGCAAGGTGAAACGAAACCACAACAAAGTCACGGGCCTATCGCGCATATATCGGTGTTCAGCTGACAACCTGGAGTTTGCACTTTCCACTCATGAGGCCAGTGACTGCAGCGACTAGTGACTTCCAATGCTCCCAATGCTCAACACAAGCACGGCACCTGGATCATGACTACAGACCACGGAAGACCACTGGCGACCGGTGATTTTATCATTAGAGGATTACCTGGTGGTGAATGTGAGGAACGAATTAAACCAGGAGATAGATAAAAGACCTACAAGTTGATAAGGGAAAGATAAGGTAATGAAAGCAGTGAATGAACACATGCTTTTCCCTTGTAAATTTGGAGCCTTTTGCATTCGTTCCTCGTTTCCTTTACGTGACAGGTGATCTCGTTCATTTGGGGCTTCTGTTTCGTGTGGTGGCCTGTGGTTTCTTTCACAGATCCTTGATGGCCCTCAGCATCTCATGGATCACATGCATCCCATTGTGCTCTTGAGCCTCCAAATCAAGCGGCCTGTCGATGCCAGCGGTCCGTTCTTCCTTTACCACTGCATCTTTGGGGACCCTTCACAGCCGCATGCGCAGCTTCAGCATCCATTCAGCATCCTGCTTTCTTGTGGCCTTCAAAGCTCTCAAAACAAGCCCTCCGTGTGGCGCGCGCCCGCGCGACCTAAAGCCAAAGCGGCGGATCTCTCGGCTCTTCTAGACTTCGCCGCTCTTCGGAGAAAATCTCGCGCCGCGAGACGTGGTGGAAGGTCACCTGGCCTTTAAACGCCGTCGAAACGCAAAGCCTCTCTTTCTGTGAAGAAAAGCGGGACGGCTCTCTTTCGCAGAGTCCAAAATCCTGGCAGCTGCAGCGGCACTTTCCGAGGGTCGTCATCATGAGGCGCACCCATCTGAAATCTCGGACTTGAGCCTAGTTTTCTGACTGCAGGAGTGGGCAGTCCTTCTACGAGCAACACTTTTCGGCGACTGATGTTTTCCAACGAGAAGTTCTTGCCGGCACGTGCCACCGTGCGTCCCATAGAACAGGCTGACTGCCTGCGCTGCAAGTCAGTGTGATCTGCATCCAGTCTTTCGCCTGTGAACCACCACCAATCAACCTGAATCCTCCACAGCTGTCAAAGTCAAACGACTCAGATGATATTTCTTTCCTTGACATCGATGTAAAGATTGCTCTTTCTCTCCCACCTCAAATCATGTATGTACGAGGCTTCTCACACGTAGTCGGATTGGGCTTGAACCGGCACGGTCATGAAAAGGAGGTTGACTAGCTCTGAATAGTGTTGGCTTTGGCATTGAGCACAAGTGCCTGTGCAATCAACGCAAGACGGGATCGCACCCACGTGAATTTGAAGCCCACGCCAAGGACAAGCTCATCACATAAGATCGTACCCTGCGGCAAGGGCAGCATCCTTGGTTGTTGCTATGCTTCGTTTTCCATTTACCCTTCTCTGGCCCCTTGCTTCCTGCCCGTCTTCCTGCCCATGCCCCTGCCTGTGCGCCTTTCACGCCAGCAAGCTCAGTCAGCATGATCGCCGTGCTGCGGACGCACATGACAAAGAGCTTTCGAGTCGGTCATCAGGAAAGATTTCGAATCAAGCTTCGAAAGTTTACGAAGCCGTCGTTTTCTTTCAGTTCGTTCTTGCTGCAACACCCGAATTCGACGCTTGTTTCCGTTGCTGCATTGCGTCAACTGCCTGGATCCACCGAGATTCACACACCAAGCGTCCCTTCCACGCTTGTCCACGCTGGGTTGCCGCGTCTTCCTTGGGGTTCTGGCGAGGCGCAGGTTGCTGCCCGGACGAAGGAGGCCATGGCAGCCAGAGAGGAGGCAACGAGGGCCCTGGGCCCTGGGCCTTCTGACTGTCCCTAGCGGCCCCCGGCCTTCCGGCAGGCAGAGGCGATACAGGCAGAGCTGCGGTTGGCCCAGAATTGGGCCGCTCAGGAGGTGGGGGGGGGGGTAGTTTACGGCCAGTGGCAGAGCTGGCTGCGATTCCGGCAGGAACGAGAGTTGCACGCACTCAGATCAGGCCCCCGCTGTGAACAGTGACAGCTCTGAGCTCCTGCACAACAATGCGCCCCTGCGCAGAAGTTGATGAATTGCGGATGCAGACTAACCAGGCCCGCACGCCGGTTCAATTGCTTCTCGCTTGTTGAGTCGTGCACGTCGCAGGCAGAACGTGACGAACTGAAGGGGGCGCTCCAAAAA